AAAGTCACTGTTGAATCTGCTCTCCACTCTTTCTGACAATACATTTCAGATCTCACTCGGTGTTAACTTTTTCTTTCTGGTGTTTTGCCAATGATCTTAAATCTTTGACCCTTTATTGATCCTTCAGCCACTGGATGTAGTTTTTCCTTGCATGCTTCTTTCAAAACTCTTTATCACTTCAGATATCCCATTTTCCTTTACTTCCTTGTATGAAGGAAACCATTGCAACTGCTCTTGTTTTGCTATGTAACTGACTGTGCTTCCTGATAAACCTCTGTACCCCCTCCAGGATCTGACATTATTCCTGAAGTGTTTTACTAGGAAGTGAATACAGTACTCTAGCTGAGCCTAGCTAGTGATTTGTGAATTGGTTTAATAAAAGGCAATCTTAATTCAGACAGTCCGTGGCCTTTTCCTTTCAATATGCTGAGTTGGAATTGGCCCTTGATGCTGCAGTACTGTTGCTTGCTATAGACGGTCTCCATACAACAGCCAAGGTTTGCACTTTCCAAGAAAAAATTAAGTTCTGATTGAAAATAGATCTGGAAGCAACAACCTTATTGGGCATGGAGACAGAAGATGTAGACTTAAAATCATCATGAGTGAAACTCACTTGTGGAATGCTCATACTTGTTTTGCCTCTGGTTCTATAACAAGTAGCACCAAATGATGTATACAGAGTGCCAAACTATCTCTCCAGCAGACAATCACCGAAACACCACCACCTTGCTTCAGCCTATCTACTATTGAAACCCTAGTATTTTTGTTTGCTCCAGTGTTCTGATTAATCTTGCGCTGCTTCCTGCCAGACTTTAGCTTTTAGCCCATTCAGTGCTGTACAGACTATAACCTATCTTTTTTTCCCCCATATCCTTTATCCTTGCTTTCTCACTGGTGCTTAAATGTTTTCTCCCTTCCTTTCTACCTCTTTCTGTCTCTCTTTCTCACATGCTCCCCTATATTCCGCATTGATTCTGCATGCTCCAAATCACCCAATGACCCTCTTTTTAAATGCTCCTTTTAAACCTCCAGCTCCCTGCAACCCATTCCTTTTGATCTTGTATTTGGTCACTCTTCCAAATCATCCTTTTTTAGGATCTCTTTATTTTTTATTTACCATAAGGACTGCAGTGCTGGTGCCTTACTCTATTGGGCATATGGTGAGACATCATCTTGCATGCTCCCACATACCAATAGAAGACTCGGTCACAATTATTAGGTAAGAGTCGTACATGTTGCCTCTGTTTTCTGCAGCATACTTCCAAAGCCTGTAATCAAAGGCTGTATTTTGGGTCAATGCCACTCCATGGGGTGGAGCACCCCATGCACATGTACAAAGTACTTTACCGGCATATTTCTGTGGCTTGTAAAGTAGGTTGCTGCAAGGACCCATCTAGAACATTTGCAGTGAATTAGCGGTGTTTGGGTTGAAATTTGGCATGCACTGGGAATATTTCAATTTAAAACTTTTATTACATCTCTCTTTTTTTGAGTAGAATATTGTAAACCTCAAACCTTGCTGAACCTTTTTGTCCCTGTTAGTGTGACACTATCTGAGGCTACTCTGTATTGCATTTAGTTGGATATTATTTTACAATGGCAGACGTTGAGGATTTCTTTGTACTTAAAACTAAAACCACTTTCAATCATTTTGATTTTTGATTTGTGACCAATGCTGCTCTGATAATGATGATAGACCTCTAACAGTGGGGAATGTAGTAATTAACTTGTCTGTTTTTCCTTGGCTGTCTGACTGTAGATATGAGTATAGATGAAGTTCTGTCTGGAATGATGCTGTTCCTAACACCATCTATATTCAATCTACATCACGGAGACCATTTCCAAGCATGTAGCACATGCAGGTGATGCTAACTCCATTAATCAACACCTTTGTTTTACCTCTCTGCACTTTGTTCTATGTGTGTCTAAAGTTTGCAGGATCTTCATAAGAGATGAAGTGCTGGGTCCTCAACCCTTGGGTCACTGATGATAATAAGCAACAGCAGGACTTTTCTTCACACTCCCATGTATTTTGTCACCCTTAGGTCGTGGATATCATGAGAGTGAATGTGGACAGAGTCCTTGAACGAGATCAGAAACTTACAGAGTTGGATGACCGAGCTGATGCACTTCAAGCTGGTGCATCTCAGTTTGAGACCAGTGCTGCAAAACTAAAACGCAAATATTGGTGGAAGAACTGCAAGGTAAGGTTATGGTCCTTCTGTTTGCAGCTAGCTTGGGCTCTATTCATTCAATTTTACAGCCTTGCCAACGTGGTAATAAAATGTCTGATTTTCAACTGACTTGCTTGTCACAAGGCATTTGGATTAGGATAACACTCCTCTCTTTCTGGGGAATGCTGATTGCTACATTGTTGAGAAGTGCTGTCCTTCCAGTGAAACCAGTTCAACCCAAGGTTTTATCTGTTTTGCACTGACCTTGATCCTGAGAACAACCGAGGCAACAGTCTTGTGTGTCTTGCCTGCAGTCATCCCACAACTGGGATCAAATCAACTAGTTAGCTTTGTGGTATCGTACTGTTGTGGGAGGGGAAGGGTGGGAACATAGCAGTCACTCTATGTACTTTAGATGCTGAATAAAATGCAAGGCTATTAATGTTCATGAATGCTAGAAGAAAGTAGGTAACCTATGCACTAGAGCTTTTGTGAACTTTGATAATGGCTGAGAAATAGTAAGAACCACCTATGCTGGAGTCAGATAACACAGTATGGAGCTGGAGGAACACAGCAGGCCAGGCAGCATCAGAGGAACAGGAAAGTTGATGTTTTGGGTCGGGACTCTTCTTCAGAAATAATGGCTGCCTGTTTCTTTAGTAGTAATGCATTCAATATATTAAGTGCCTCTCATTTCTTCCTCTTAGATGTGGGCAATATTAATAGCTGTGGTCCTGATCATTATTATTATCATAGTTGGTGAGTATCCAAACCTGTCCCATTTTCTCTCTTTATAGTTGGTGTTTTTGTTTTAAATTGATCTTAATCTTTTCTGTTTGTAATTCCTATTCCTGGGTTTGATTGGTTAACCCACTTTAGAAAGGAGCAGTGTCATCTGCTCATCAACTCAAATTTGAGAATCTGAATTTAGATGTTTTTTAATTAGAAATTAGATTTAGTCTCAGTAAAAAAGTGATCACAAATTGGTTAGACTGCCATAGCACAACCAGTATAAGCTCTTCAATGCAGTAAACTTGCAATCCTTACCCAATCTGGGAATCCAATTCTACCTAAGTTAACTCAGCTACACAATTGTGTAGCTTGCTTGAGAACTTGATTATATCAAATCTGGTAACTAGGAATTGTTTTATTTATTTATGGGATGAGGGTGTCGCTGGCTAAACAGCATTTATTGCCTATCCCTAATTGCCCAGAGGGCAGTTGAGAGTCAACCACACTGCTGTGGGTCTGGAGTCACATGTAAGCCAGACCAGGTAAGGATGGCAGTTTCTTTCCCTAAAGGGCATTGGAGAACCAGATGGGTTTTTCCAGTAATCAACAATGGATTCACGGTCATCATTAGATTCTTAATTCCAGACATTTATTGAATTCAAATTCCACCATCTGCCATGGCGGGATTCGAACCCAGGCCTCAGATCGTTATCTGGGTCTCTGGATTAACAGTCGAGCGATTTAATAGCTGTGCCCTGATCATTATTATTATCATAATTGGAAAGGGAAATAAATGCCAGCCTTGCCATTAGCACCCATGTCTCAAGGATCTCTTTCTTTTAAAAACACATTAAGGCTGAGATCAGAGATGTTAATTAAGTTTAAACTCATCCCTCATGGTGTGGGCTTGTGTTTGCAGGTACACAACCTGAGCAGTCAGTAAACCTGAAACTTGTCATCATTTGAGTAATGTGTATTGAGCAGTTTCCTGCTGCCTTGCATGTAAGAGATGCAGCACAACAGACCTGTAATCATTGAAGTAATTCAGTAATAAGGTTATGTTTTCTACTCTAAACTCTGCTTTTTTTTCCTCTTTTTGTATAGTTTGGCAAACCACATAAGACCAACATCTTGCCTATTGGAAATTGGAGGCAGAAGAGGATTTCTGGTTTCAACCCACCTTATCTACTATGTTTTTAAGGGTTCACTTGTCTATTGGTTTAAACATTAAGTGTTGGGGGAGATTGACTTATAATCAGGAGTTCAGGTAAAATTAAAAAACATTAATCTCAGTTTTAACTTCCCCAATGTTGATCACCCACTGTATTTGTAATGGACAGACAAGGCAACATGACATTTGACAACTTCAGAAAGATGGATGTTGCTGTTGACGTCTTAGTCTTGGGTGGGACCAATCCTTCTACAGGAGAATTGAAGTCCTAATAGTATAAATTCTTAGAGATAGTATTGTCTTTGTCTCCTTTTAATGAAGAGACAGCTAAACACTTGAACTCCTGGTCATGATCATTCTTTATCAAATGTCTGTTGTCTGTAATTGTCAAAATAAGCTGATGGGACTTGCGTTCTCCCCTATTTTCCCAAGGTTTTTTTTTTTTTTTTTTTAAAAACACACTTTGTAAATTCTTGGCAATTAAAACCCATGAGTTTTAAATGAAGCGACAGTGCAAATTAAAATGTTGGCAGGCTGCAGTTGCTAGTCTTGGCCATTAGGACTGGGCAAAGATAGAGTAATGGATCATGAATGTTGTTGTGCATGTAGAAATGTGGGCTACCTGCACGTCAAACCTTTAAGGAAACATGAAGGGCAAAAAGGTGAGATGGCTAGTCAACAACTGTATTGTCCCCTTGCATCTGTGGCTTTTAACAGAACCAAAGTCAGAGGGTGGTGGGTTTCCTTTTGCTAGTAGAATCGAAACAGGAGAACGGTTCCTGAACCTGAAGTTTCTAATTCTTCTCCACTTTCAATTCATTTTCTGTTGAACACTGAACACTTGATTTTTATCAAGCTCTTACTGAAAAAGTTTCTCCTGTTTTCAGAGGTCAGATGATATACTTTTAAAGCATCTTTTTGCAGGAATTTTATTTTGTTTCTGCCTCCCCTGGTTATTTCAAGATTAACTTTGAATTTGAAGGAAATTGTAACCTTGACCATCCATCCTGTATCATCTTTAGCACCAGTAGTCGGTGTTGGGTCTGGAAAAAGCCTTGGTCAAGTCCTGTCCTCTGAGCTGAAAGTGATAGTGAGGGTCCTGACAGTGACCTCTTGGAATGAACTGTAGTAGAGTGTTGCACTTTCAGATTTGCTCAATAATGGAATTTTTTTTTTTGTCAAAATATTGTCCTCGGTGTGCTGGTTCCCTCTATCCCTTTTTGCAAACACTAAAAGAAAAGCCAAAAACAAAGCTTATTTGTGCCTTATCTGCTCAATGTCCCAGATGAGACGAAAGTTCAAGTTACAGCTTTAAAATTCACATGGGTATTTAGATTCCAAACTGATATGTGCCTTGCTCGCTGGCATTGGGCTTTTAATGCACGATTCATGAATCGTGATAAGTGGTGAGATGTTTCCTTTTGAATTTTTTTTTTAGAAAAGAAACTCCAAGCTAAGGGGGATGCTAATACTAAATTAACATATCATACATAACTGTTTGCTGGTTGAAGGCTTATGTAGTCACTTTTGTTTCACTAAAATTGGTTGTAAGCCTTTAATTATATCATCAGCAATTGACCTGGGTTCATGAACGCAAGAAAATCTTTTTTATTTTTTTTTTTATTTTTGCACAAGAGTTTTAAAAGGAAATTTGTACACTCCTAAATGGGACTTCAAGTGTCAACAGGGACACAGCATCTCAATGGTTGGACTCGTACTATTGGCTAGTTTCTGTCTCCCACTCGCGCTTCCACTCGTCAGTAATGCTGCCTGTTTGCACTTGATATTCACTTTTGCTGGTGATTGGTCTTGGATAAATGTTGAATATTGTCTAGCACTGTTTAGCTTTTATTGCACTGTTGGCAAATTGTGAGCAATACATTGGTGATGGGTATTTTGTAAAGACCCCCAACAGCTATTGTATGTTATTGAAGCGCAAAGTTACTCAGATGCTTCTTTAATGTTCCTTTGGAATAAAGGGGGGGGAATCCAAGCTGAGCACTTACCTTCAAGTAATCTGATTTGCAGCATTAATTGGCTGGATCTGATCAGTGGGATGGTATATACAAAATGGTTTGAGATCATTGCCTGATGGGTGATGTATGTCTAGTCCAGCTCATTGGCATTTTGTGAAGACTAAAGTCTGAATTAACCATCACTGCTGTATTGTTGGTATAATAGATCACCAAAAATCTTTTTCTAAACAGTATTTTCAATGAAACTCCTATTTAGACATCAGTTGACATGATTTTGTAAACTTGAGGTTCCTCAATGCCTTCAGCCAGCAAGTTTAACTTTGGTTTGTGATTCTTTGTCAGAACTTGCTGTTCAGCCTTTAGTGCTGTAACTACTGCCACTCAGGCTTTAGAAGTGCCCAGCAATTACTGAAACCCAAACAAGTGCCTCTTGAGCTATTTGTGCCCCACTTCACCTTTTTGTATAAAAGTGTAATTGTTCAAGTTGGCATTGCAGCTAAGCTTGTTCAATTGTATTTTATTGTAAGGAAGACTTAATAAAAGACATTTTGCAATCCAAAGACCTGTAGCTTCTTTAACACGAGCATGAATGAAGTACTGTTCATTTTACCTCTCTCCAAACCTTAATACCCATCAAAACATCCTTACGAATACTTGAAGGAAAATTAGGTGCCTACAATGTTTAGTATCAAGGCTTGAAATTGCATGAAGAAACTGAGGTAGTACACGGGTCAGAGCATTGAGATTGTTGACAATTCTATTCAATCATGAAAGGCATGGAGAGTAAGAAGTAACAGCATCTAGTGGCAGAAAGGTCAGTAACAAGAGAACACAACAGATATCATGGGGAAGGGGTTTTTTGCAGTAAATGATGATCTGAAAGGCACTGCCTGAAAATGTAGTGGAACCAGATTTAATCACTTTTCCAGAAGGAATTGGATAAAAATGTAGATGGGGAACATGAAAGCATCTTTTGCTGCTGGCTTAAAAAGTAATTTGCCCTTTTTTTAACCTCTGGCAAAACATTCGGATTGTAAGATTGCACATCTATAGCCACTGAATTCAAAGACTTTAGGAACAAAATTAATAACAGCAATCCAGTGCATATCACTTGTTTCGCTACTTTGGAAGCACCAAGGGAATCTTTATCCAAAGACCTCTTTCAGCAATTATGCAGGATCGGAAAGACTGAATAATACTTAGTGCAGCTCGATAAATTCATTGACATGTCTTAACACACAACCCGGTTGATTTGGTTTTTTTGTGCGCATGGATCTTAAGGGCATAATCACCAAAGAGAATCTTCGCACCCTTTTTTTTCCCTTAGAGAGAGAACAAGGGATGATGATCTCAACAACAGATTTTAAAAAGTATGTGCTTGAGTAATATGCTTTAAACAAGAAACTGGTCTCTATCCAAGCTGATGGCTGGTGCGCCATGCTTGCAAGCCAGTGAGCTTTGTTGCAATTTTGTAGAAACAATCCTGATTTTCCCCTCTCTTGTCAATTACTATTGTATGATCCAGCAAGTTTTGAATAAAGGTATGGACTCTTTCCTCATATCATGAAAGTTAAGATTCTGAACTCAATTCTCACAACAGCCTTCTGACATTGCTTACTTTAAAATCTTACTCTGCGTATTAATCATTCGTGCTGATGTGAGGTAGTTAAGGAAAGATCCTGCAAAGATTTTTGGATCTCATGCCTGGAATTGTTACTTTCTTAAATCAAGAAATGAAGTGTGCAGTGGAGTGTTAGATGTTAATTGGTTACTTGACATTGTCTATAAAGAAGCCCAATGTCAAACTGAATGAGGCAAACAGCAGCAAATGACAGACTTAGCACATATGATCAGTGACGTGAATGCATTCAAGTTGAAAGTGGCTCTGGTCCTCTTTGATTCTTTTCTAGCATTTTCTCCAGACTTGGAAAGTGTTGCAGCACTTTTTTTTTCTTAAAAAAGACAAGAAAAATGATTCCACTCAAATCTTCTATAAACACCTGAGGAAGTTGGCAGATGGATTCAATAGGTCATAGCAGAAACTAGATGTGATGGAACAAATTGTTTGTCTTATCCATTCCTTCAGTTAATGGGTTGACTACCAAATTCCGCCAGGAATTAAGGCCTTAAGACATAGGAGCAGAAATTAAGCCATTCAATCTTGGCTGATAAGTTTCTCAACCCCATTCTCCTGCTTTCTCCCCATAACCCTTGATCCCCTTGACAATCAAGAACCTATCTATCTCTGTCCTAAATGTACTCACTGACCTGACCTCCATAGCCTTCTGAGGCAGTGAGTTCCATAGATTCACCACTCTGAAGAAGTTTCTCTACCTCCATTCTAAAAGGTTTTCTCTTTACTCTAAGGCTGTGCCCTTGGGTCCTAGTCTCTCTTACCAATGGAAACCTCTTCCCAAAATCCACTCTGTGCAGGCCATTCAGTATTGTGTTTCAATTAGATTCCCCCCTCATCCTTCTAAAATACTTTGGGTTTAGACCCAGAGTCCTCAAACATTTCTCATACATTAAGCCTTTCAGTCCTGGGACCATTCTTATGAGCCCCCTCCAGGGTCAGTACATCCTTTTCCTGAGCTATGGGGCCCAAAACTGCATACGATACTCTAAATATGGCCTGACGTGCCTTTTAGAGCCTTAGTAGTACATCCCTGCTTTTGTATTCAAGTCCTCTCAAAATAAATGCCAGCATTGCATTTGCCTTCCTAACAACTGACTCAACCTGCAAGTTTACCTTGAGAGGATCATGGACTAGAACTCAAGTCTGTTTGCATTTCAGACTTCTGAATTTTCACCCAATTTAAAAGATAGCCAATACCTCTGTTATTCCTACCAAAGTGCATGACCTCTCACTTTCCCGTGTACTCCATCTGCCACTTACTTGTCCACTCTCCTAACCTGTCCAAATCTGTCTGCAGCTTCCCCGCTACCTACCTGTTGTATCATCTGCAAATGTAGCCAGAATGCCCTCAGTTCCTTCATCTCGATAATTAATATATAAAATGTGAAGTTGTGGTCCCAACACTGACCATTGTGCAACAACACTGGTCACTGGCTGCCATCCTGAGAAGGACCCCTTTATCCCCACTCTCTGCTTTCTGCCAGACAGCCAATCTTCTTTCCATACTAGTACCTTGCCTCTAACACCATGGGCCCTTATCTTGCTCAGCAGCCTCCTGTGCTGCACCTTGTCAAAGGTCTTCTGGAAGTCCAGGTAGATAACATCCATGGGCTCTCCTTAGTCTAACCTGCTCATTACTTCCTCAAAGAATTCCAGCAGATTCGTCAAGCATGACCTCCCCTTGATGAAACCATACTGACTTTGCCCTATTTTATCATGCACTTCCAAGTATTCAGAAATCTCATCCTTCACAATGGACTCCAAAATCTTACCGGCGACTGAGGTTAGGTTAATCAGCCTGTAACTTTCCATCTTTTGCCTTACTCCCATTTTAAACAGGGGTGTCACATTAGTGATTTTGTTTTTTTTCCCCCAGTCCTCTGGAACCCTCCCTGACTCTAGTGATTCCTGAAAGATCACCATTAATGCCTCCGCTATCTCTTTTTAGCTAATTCCTTAAGAACTCTGGGATGCAGTCCATCTGGTCCTGGTGATTTATCTGCCTTCAGGTATTTCTAGCACCTTCTCCTTGGTGATGGCCACCATACTGTGGTCTGCCCTCTGTCTCTTGAATTTTTGGGATAGTATTTGTGTCTTCCACCATGAAGACTGACACGAAGTAATTATCCAGTTCCTCGGCCATCTCCTAGCTCCCCACCACTATCTCTCCAGTGTCCACTTTTGCCTCTCCTTTTGCCCTTCATAGATCTAAAGAAACACTTACAGTCCTTGTTTATATTACTGGCTAGCTTACCCTCATTTAATCTTCTCCCTCTTTTTTTTTTTTTATTTATTTTTGTTGGTCATTGTAAGCTTCCCAATCTTCTGGCTTCCCACTGCCCTTCGCCATATTATATGCTTTCTCTTGTTTTTATGCTGTCCCTGACTATCCTTGTCAGCCAGGGTTGTCTCATCTTCCCTTTAGTATGCTTCTTTTTCCAGGGATGAATTTTTGCAGTGTCTCCTGAATTACCCCCAGAAACTCCTGCTGTTGCTATTCTACTGTCTTTCCTGCTAGGCTCCTCTCCCGTCAATTCTGCCCCACTCCTCCCTCGTGCCTTTGTAGTTGCCTTTATTCAGCTGTAATACCGTTACTTCTGATTCTATCTTCTCCCTCTCAAATTGCAGAGTAAATTCAGTCATATTATGATCACTGCCTCCTAAGGGCTCCTTCATCTTAAGCTCCCTTATTAAATCTGCCACATTGCACAACACTAAATCCAGTGATAGTAGGAGCTGCAGATGCTGGAGAATCTGAGATACAAGGTGCAGAGCTGGATGAACACAGTAGGCCAAGCAGCATCAGAGGAGCAGGAAAACTGACGTTTCGGGCCTAGATTCTTCTTCATTTTCTGAAGAAGGGTCTAGGCCCGAAACATCAGCTTTCCTGCTCCTCTGATGCTGCTTGGCCTACTGTGTTCATCCAGCTCTGCACCTTGTTATCTCACTAAATCCAGAACTGCCTGTTTCCCTAGTGGGCTCCACCACCAGCTGCTCCAAAAAGCCATCTCAGACATTCTACCAATTCCTTTTCTTGCGGTGGATTCCCAGTTCCCCCTGCATATTTGAAATCCCCTATGATCACTAACTTTGCCTCTCTTACACACCTTTTCTATCTCCTGGCATAGCTTGAGCCCCAGCTCCTGACTACTGTTTGGAGGCCTGTACGTAACTCCAACTATCAGTTTTTTTTTCAAACCTTTGCAATTCCTCAATTCTACCCACACAGATTCTACACCATCCGACCCTACTTCATTTCTTACTATTGATTTAATTTCATTTCTTACTAATAAGGCAAACCCACACCGTCTGCCCACCTGTCTATCTTTTTGATAGGATGTATATCCTTGAATATTCAGCTCCCAATCCTGATCCCCTTGCAGCCATGTCCTCATGATGCCCACCACATCATACCTGCCAATTTTGATCTGCGACACAAGCTCATTTACCTTTATTCCTTATACTGCATGCATTAAGACATAACACCTTCAGTCCTGTATTTACTGTCCCTCTTCTCATGTCACTCATTTATCCAATGTGCTTGAAGTTTGATTCCTAACTCTTTCCAAACACTGTCCTATTTGTCTGTGCTGGAGACTTTAATAACCTCCCCTGAGTTCTGCTTTCCTGTCATTTCTTTCTCATTTTTCCATGCAGTTGAATTCACCTATTTGATTTATAAAGTAGTAGAGGTAATTGCTACGTAAAATGAGATTGAGCTGAAAGTTTATTTTTGGGGACTTGTAAACAGAGGAAAATATCCACTCATCTTCCTGGGCTTTTAAAGTGAGAGCTTAATTTTACTCCATATACCTCTCGGATGCTATCTCCAAAGTGAAGATAGTCAAGTTCAAGTGTCGCATTCACTGCACAGTTTTTTATAAAAATTTGGTTTGTATACAAGTAGCAGACTCAAACTACAAC